GGCGACGTTCCTGAGCATGCAGGTGGAGAAGGTCGAGGGCTGCTACGCGATCAGCGGCAAGACGAGCATGATCGACGTCGTCTTGAAGGAGCTGGGCTCGGAGACGGCGACGCCATCAGCACTGCCCGAGACCAAGAGCGAGATGCACATGAAGACGGGGTGAAGCTGGACACGGTGGGCCACAGTCGCTACAGGACCTGTGTGGGGAAGCTACTACAGTTGGCGAGCCACCGCCCTGACATTCAACGTGGAGTTGGAGTTCTGAGCGGGGGCATGCCAGGGCCGACGGAGAAGGACCTGAGGAGGCTGAAGAAGATGGCTCGGTACCTCGCAGGTACGCGAAACTACAAGATGCAGTTGGTTCCGAACAGATGAGGTATTCCAGTGGAGTGCTGGGTGGACGCAGACTGGGCCGATGACAAGACGGGCAGGATTTCGACGAGCGGCGGCATCCTGATGTACCGCGAATGCACCGTCCTGTCGTGGTCAAGACGCCAGGGCTGCGTGGCATTGAGTTCGGCGGAGAGAGAGAGCTATGCGCGCTGTGATCGGGAGCAGCAGAGGCTATCCGACTGGCATCACTACTCGAGGAGTGGAAGGAGAAGACGATACCGACCCTGATGAGCGACAGCAGCAGAGCGCTACACATCGTGAAGAAGCGCGGGCCAGGAAAGATGAAGCACGTGGAGGTACGCTGCCTGGCGCTGCAGCAGTGGCGAGAACAAGGACTATTGAGTTTCGGCAAAGTATGCACTCACGAGAACCCGAGCGACATGATGACCAAGCCGATGACCAAGGAGAAGTTGGAGAAATTCTCAGAGATGGCTGTTCTGGTACGCTCGCAGGGAGATAGAGGCTTGAGCCCTGGCGGGTGAGAAAGGAGTGAGTGAGAAGGTTACCTGCCTGTGTAGTAGAGTATAGGAAGATAAATGTTTGAGGGGGGGGGCTCAGTGGCCGAGCTACCCCCTCTCCATTTTAGAGGTTATTTTGATAACGTTTCCCTCCGAGGTCTGAGTCCAGAGTGGGCCTGGCGCCCTCGAGGGCGTGTTGAGGGAAACCGAGGAGAGAAGAGGTTTAACCAGAGCCTGAGGCGTTACCATTGCGCCATCCGTCCGCAGCCTCTTTGGCAGAAAAGTTATCACCAACCCTTTCCCCGGGACCAGCTTTTCGTCCGGAGTCGATTTTTGACGGTCCCGGGGCCCAGCGAGGGCCCCACCGAGGCCGAGAACGAACAAAAATTTCCCGCCCTGATTTTTGCTTACGACGCGATCATGTCGGGGAGCTGGGGATGCACAGCGCGGCCGCGCGTCCTCCCGGCTCTCGGCACTATCGTGTGGCCGCGGGGCGCTCCAGCCCTCCGCGCGTGCAGATCGAGCGGTGGTGGCACCCGTGGGCGTGCCGACTGCGGTTCCTGCGGCATGCGGTCCCAGCGTCCTGGTGTGGGGGGCCACCGCGCAGCCCAGACCCCCTCCTCCTCCTCCTCCTCCTCCTCCTCCTCCTCCTCCTCCTCCTCCTCCTCCTCCTCTTCCTCCCCTCCTCCTCCTCCTCCTCCTCCTCCTCCTCCTCCTCCTCCTCTCCTCCTGCCTCCTGCCTCTCCTCCTCCTCCTCCTCCTCCTCCTCCTCCTCCTCTCCTCCTCCTCTTCCTCCTCCTCTTCATCCTCCTGCCTCCTCCTCCTCCTCCTCCTCCCTCCACCTCCTGCTCCTCCTCCTCCTCCTCCTCCTCCTCCTCCTCCTCCTCCTCCTCCTCCTCCTCCTCCTCCTCCCCTCCTCCCCCTGCCTCCTCACTCCCCCTCCTCTGCTGCTCCTCCTGCTGCTGCTCCTCCTCCTCCTTCCTCCTCCCTCCTCCTCCTCCTCATCCTTTTTCCTCCTCCTCCTCCTCCTCCTCCTCTTCCTCCTCCTCCTCCTCCTCCTCCCCCTCCTTCTCCTTCTGTTCCTCCTCCGCCTATTCCTCCTCGTCGTCCTCCTCCTTCTCCTCCTGCTCCTCCTCCTCCTCCTCATTCTCCTATCCTTATTCCTTATTAGAATATACTCCTACTCCCCCCTCAGGCCGGCCGATAGGGGCCGCATCCGGGTGGTCCCATCCTAACCTGTAAAAAACAATACAAAATCAACATGTTTTCTTATTTTTTTCCTCTCGACATGGACGTCCTGTCGTCCACGGCGATAATCCATTGCAAAAAATACCACAAAGAGCACACGCGCGCGTTCATGTCAGAATCCTACCGAACACCGTGTGTTTGCAAGCATTTCAACATAAAAACATCAAAAACCCAATGCTTTTTCACAAAAATTGTACAAATTTCCCGCCCGGGCTCTCTTGCTGAAATCATAGGAAAACCATAGGAATCTTAAGAATTCGGTCAAATCCAGCGATTTCACGTCATCGCGCGGTGCACTCGCGATGCTCTGTCATGCACCCAGGCCGCGAATCCTGTGCAAAAAATACCACAAAGAGCACACTCGCGCGTTCATGTCAGAATCCTACCGAACACCGTGTGTTTGCAAGCATTTCAACATAAAAACATCAAAAACCCAATGCTTTTTCACAAAAATGCTTTGGGGTGTCCTGTCAGACCGTCGGGCTTCCTCCGGCCACCTCTGGCTTCCTGCGGTGTACCGGGCCATTCTCGACTCGTCTGGCAATGCGTGCGCGGCATTCAACACGCGCTCGCCAGTTCCCGTCGGCAACCGCCATCGCGGCCGCATCAGCTGTACCAAACCGGCTGGCCGGTGTGACTTCGGCCCCCAGTTGTGCCAGCTTTGCTTCTTATGTTGTGGGAGGGCGGGTGGGACTGGGCATGCCATGCTTGACTCGCTCGAGCTGGCTAGCTTGACTCCTACTCCTACTCCTACTCCTCTCCTCTCCTCCTCCTCCTCCTCCTCCTCCTTCCTCATTCGCCTCCTCCTCCTCCTCCTCCTCCTCCTCCTCCTCCTCCACCTCCTCCCCCTCTTCCTCCTCCACCTCCTCCTCCTCCTCCGCCCCCTCCTCCTCCTTTGCCTCATCCTCCTTTTCCTGCTCCTCCTCCTCCTCCTCCTCCTCCTCCTCATCTCGCCTTTGCCTCCTGCCTCCTCCTCCTCCTCCTCCTCGTCATCATCATTCATCATCATCATCATTCATCATCATCATCATCATCATCATGATCCTCCCCCCTCCTCCTCCTCTTCTTGTTTTCTCCTCCTCCTCCTCGTCCTCTTCCTCCTCCTCCTCTCCTCCTCTCATCATCATCACCATCATCATCATCATCATCATTTTCATCATCATCATCTCATCATCATCATTCCTCATCCATCATCCTCCCCCATCCCTCCTCCTCCTCCTCCTCCCCCTCTCTCCTCGCTCTCCTCCTCCTCCTCCTCCTCCTCCTCCTCCTCCTCCTCCTCCCCCTCCTCCTCCGCCCCCCAGACCCCATCGAGTCCTGAAAGCACGGCCTCCGGGGGCCCTTGCCCGACCTCGGGACCGTCAATGTAACTGCGAATACCGCATTGTGGTTACCGCTTTCGGTGGAGCTCCCGAAGGGGCCACGAAGCGTGTGAGGGGCGTGCCGACTTGGGTGCGGTGGTGTCATTCGAACCCTGCCACTGGGGCCTTCGGCGGAGCTCGGGGCCACGAAACGTGTGAGGGGTGTGCCGAACTGGGCGCGGTGGTGCCATGCGAACCCCCCACTGGAGCCTTCGGCGGAGCTCCGGTTGGGGCCACGAAACGTGTGATGGGTGTGCCGACTTGGGCGCGGTGGTGCCATGCGAACCCCCCACTGGAGCCTTCGGTGGAACTCCCGATGGGGCCACGAAGCGTGAGAGGGGTGTGCCGACTTGGGTGCGGTGGTGTCATTCGAACCCTGCCACTGGGGCCTTCGGCGGAGCTCCGGTTGGGGCCACGAAACGTGTGATGGGCGTGCCGAACTGGGCGCGGTGGTGCCATGCGAATCCCCCACTGGAGCCTTCGGTGGAACTCCCGATGGGGCCACGAAGCGTGTGAGGGGTGTGCCGACTTGGGTGCGGTGGTGTCATTCGAACCCTCCCACTGGAACCTTCGGTGGAGCATCCTCTGGGGCCACGAACCGTGTGAGGGGTGTGCCGAATTGGGTGCGGTGGTGCCATGCGAACCCTGCCACTGGGGCCTTCGGTGGAGCTCCCGATGGAGCCAAGAACCGTGTGAGGGGTGTGCCGAATTGGGTGCGGTGGTGCCATGCGAACCCTGCCACTGGGGCCTTCGGTGGAGCTCCCTACGGAGCCAAGAACCGTGTGAGGGGTGTGCCGATTGGGCGCGGTGGTGCCATGCGAACCCTCCCATTGAGGCCTTCGGTGGAACTCCATATGGGGCCACGAACCGTGTGAGGGGTGTGCCATGCGAACCCTCCCACTGGAACCTGCGGTGGAGCTCACTGTGGGGCCACGAAGCGTTGAGGGGTGTGCCGAAACAGAAACATGCGGAGGGCAAGGGCGAGGATGGGAGGAGGGAGGAGGGGGAGGAGGAGGCGGAGTGGGAACGCGGGGCGCTGTCTCTTCAAAACGGGGACCCAACAACACAGGATGGTTGGGAAAAATTGACTCGGGATGCCAAACCGGTTCTGGGGAAGGGGTCCAGACCTCTGGGGGTCGAGGCTGTGGAAAGAAACCACGATGTCGGGGGTTTGGTGTCCCAGCCTCCCGGCGAGGGGCCACCGCGAAGTGAGGGGAGAAGGGAGGTCAGGCGATCGCAAACATGGATCGGGGGGGCGCGGATTCCGCCGCCGAGCGAGGCGGCACCGGCCGCGCTTTGGGGAGGGCACCTCCCCGAATCCACGGAGTTGGCGACCGCGCGCCAAAGCCACGGATCGCGAGTCCATGCCTGCCCGCCCCCGAGAAGGGGGGGGGGGCGGGGGCGTCAGGGCGCCACAGCGTCGGGGCCTCGCACGGTGGAGGTCGGCGGCCGGTCCCCCGGGCGCGCGCGGGGGCGGGGCGGGGGGAGCGAGGGGGGAGGGGGGCCCTTCGGCCAGAGGGCGGGGCGCGCGGGGGGCGAGGTCGCCGGGTGGCTCGAGGAGGCGTCGGGGCTGCGCAAGCTGGAGGTCGGCGATCGGATCCCGAGCGTCGTCTTCAGGACGGGCGGGGGGGTGGCAGGCCCGCGGCCAGGGCGGGGCGGAGCCACCACCGGCAGGCCTGTAGGCTTCGGGCGTCCGTCGGGGAGTTTTGTGGGTTGGGCACTGCCCCCCCTGGGGAAGGCCAGCGCGGACGGAGGGACAGACGAACAGTTTGGACGGGTGGCTGGATGAATGCAAGGGGCGACGTCCTGATTTTTGCAATGCGGCGTCCCTGGACGTCCCGACCCCTTCCCCTGAACCCGCTTTCATCCCGAATCGTTCTTTGCGTTCTTTGACGGTCCCGGGGCCCGGCGAGGGCCCCCCGAGGCCGAGAACGGGCAAAATTTCCCGTCCTGATTTTTGTCACCGCGCGAGATGGTCTGGGAGGAGGAGGAGGAGAAGGAGGAGGAGGAGGAGGAAGAGCAGGAGGAGGAGGAGGACGCGATCTTGTCTGGGTAGGTCGCCTGCAGGAGCGCGAAGGTAACCGCGCTGCGCGACTCGCGGCATGGTGCCCGAGGGCCGGAAGTTGTTCCTGGGAGGCTCGGCGCGGTGGCCCGGGGAGGCCGGGCGCGCTATCGCGCTACATCGCGCGGCGCGGGGCGCGGTGTTTCGTTGGCCTGGCGGCTGGCCGTAAAGACGAAGGGATGGACGGACGGACGGTTTGAACGGAAGGGTGGGGCCCAGACGTGATCGCGTCGAAGACAAAACATCTGGACGGTAGCTTGTTGACCGTTTTCGGTTGGCCGTTTTCGGCCTCGGAGGGCCATCGCCGGGCCTCGGGGCCGACAAAAAACGACTCCGGATGAAGACGGAGGGATGGACGGACGGACGGTTTGAATCGAAGAAGAAAAAAACGCCATAAGCATAATTTTTTGGCGCTCCGCGCGGATGTCTTGGATTCGCGCTGGGCCCCCCGAGCGGCCCCTCTGGCGCCGCTACTGGCGCGCTCCGCGCGCCAGGGAGTGGGTCCAGCGCAGATCCAAGAAATCCGCGCGGAGCGCCAAAAGTATATGTTCATGGAGTTTTTTCTTATTCTATTAAACGGAAGGATGGAAGGGTGGATGGATGGATGAGATGGTCGGCTCGGCACAAGAGTGACCCTTCGCCGGAGTAATTTTGGCGCGGGCTCACAGCTCCCCCAGTACTGGCTCGTGCGCTTGGGTTTGACCCCGCACCCCCCTTTGGCCCCTCAAAGGCGCGCGCCAAGGGTCGTTCTTGCCTGGGGGGCCATTTGTTTGCGCAGCCGAGAAGGTGGTGGCCTGGGGGCACGCCAGAATGCCCCACGATCAGGCCCTTTGCCAGCGAGACGCCCACCGCTGGACCTGGCACTCCAGGGGTTCCCAAGGTCCCAGGGTCGCCCGCGCGCGCGAGAATCCGAGTGGCTCCGAGCCGAGTGGCCCGGGGGGGCCCGCCAGATCGGTCGGGCACTCCAGAAAGGCAAAGGATGTGGCTCCGGCGCTCTTCGGGGGCGAGGTGCGTGTTTGGCTCCGAGCAGAGAGTTTGTCCCTTCCGCGGTGTGTCCATGAGCCTTTCGTCGCAGGTAGGGCCGCGGAACGGGCAGCGGAGCAGCGAGCCTATTCGAAGCCGGGCTAGAGGGCGGGCGCGACCAGCGACACTTCCTTTGGTCGTTCGGCGTGTCTATGCACAGGTCTTTCGCGAGAATTGCGCGAGGCGTTCCGCCTCGTCGTTTGTGTCGAGGAAGCGTGAGGCTCGAGATTGCCTGAACTCGGGTTTGCCACCGTTTTTGACGGTTTTGGCGTGGATTTTGACGCTCCAGTTTTCGTGAGATGTTTGCAGCGGGAGGTAGCGTAAAATTTTAAGCGAGGTCCTTTCCTTCTTCGGTTGACCCCATCCAGCAAGTCGAGCCCCACGAAATCGAATCGTATGTCCCCCATATGGTTTAGCGCCACGCCGGGCCGCCAGATGCTATACTCTATTTGCCGTTTTCGGGGTAGGGGGATGCTTTGGGAGAGGGAAAGAGAGGGAAAGAGAGAGAGAGAGAGAGAGATAACAAGCAAGAAATACATAAATAAATACATAAAAAGACAGAGACGGAAAGAGGGAGAGAAAGAGAGAGAGAGAGAGAGAGCAACAAATAACGAAGTTCTTTAACAAAGAAGCAACAACAGGAGAGAAGCAAGATACATGGAGGGATTTTCTCAGGTTTGTCATAGTGGCTGGGCGGAAAAACGGAGGGTTGGGGACCCGCGACCACCTTCCAGTCGGGCAGATTCCCGCCGCCTCGCGCATCCCCACATGCCTTGATGTGCAGGATCGGTTTGACTGCGCAGTGCCGTGAGGAGGAAGCGTGCAGGACCGTGGGCAGCCCAGGTCGGGCCTTCAGTTCACTTGACGTGGGGGTCATCGTCTTCGCTGCGCCACGCTGGAGGAACAAACAAAAACGGTCCGGCACATTTGGGACTCTCAGGGGGTCCACGTGATGCTTATTTGGACCCATCTTGAGGTTCCCAACAGTTACTGGTGAATATACCTGTAAGGGCTTCGCCCTCTGCCGCGGGCCACCTCTCTAGCAGAATGGGATCAGATGCAGCTGTGGTGGAATTCATGGGCGCCGACGCGACGAGTTCGAAGAAGAGAAAACGGCATAAACCTAAACGTTTGGCGCTCCGCGCGGATTCCTTCGATCGGCACTGGCACTCCCCTGGCGGCGCCTCCGGCGCCGCCACTGGCGCACTCCGCGCGCCAGGGAGAGTGATCCAGCGCGGATCCAAGAAATCCTCGCGGACCGTCAGAAGTTTATGTTTGTTCCGTTGTTTGTTTCCCTGCGATTGGTAATCTTCGAGACAGGTTGATATCCATTGCGACTCAGATGATATTGTTGATCTCCGTGTTGTCTTTTTTCGAACTTCCCTTCGTGAGGCACGTTCCCAGAATAACGTACGGGGGATCGTGGCAAATGGGTGCGCGAACATTTCATAACTTACGAGGGACCGTGCGCTACTATGATCTAATGTGCCATAGATCGTAGCCTCGGGGGCGCGAAGGATCGAGGCCTCGGGGACGCGCATCTTGCGTACACTGGTTGGGATCGTGGCCTCGGGGACGCTAATGCTGCATAGCTTACGAAGGATTGGCCACGGGGGCGCGAATCTCACACATTTTTACGTGTCCCACGGCCCGGCCGGAATTCAGAGCACGCGATGTTTTGACGCTAAAGAACTGTTGTTGGACCCCACTTCGCGCGGTCAGTGGCAGTTTACAGTAGGAAGTAGAGACTAGGACTACAACACGGGAGACTTGAAATTGGAACTGGAGCAGGGAGCAGCAAGCCAAATCCCGGTAGCTTGATGGACCCACACGATGGCCGGCGGATTTTGTTGGTGAATTTGTTGACGGATTTGAAGAGGGTTCATGGCTGGGCACGCGAGTCGTCCTAGCTGCCCTCTCAGACGACAGCACACCCTTCTTGTCGGCATATTCCGCTGGAGCGATTTCCTTGTCTAATTTCGATGCTGGAGCTCACGCCGTGGGCTGCTGGAACCACTGTTCTTCTCAGAACTGGTATGCTGGAGCCCCCCTTCTCGACGGCGTTATCCGCTGGAACCGTTTTCCCCTTGTGAAAATCGGGTGCTGGAGCCCAGGCCGTGGGCTGCTGGAACCATTTTCCCCAGTGGACGTTGGGTGCTGGAGCCCACCCTTCTTGACGGCATAATCTGCGGGAGCAGCCTGCCCTCGTAGAAATGTGGCGCTGGAGCCACATCCCCGCTTGGGGGCTCCAAACGTATGAATGAGTTCGGGGTCTGGGGTGGGTGTCCTGGCATTGTAGTCACGCCTCGCTTTCAAACGGGGGCGGTGCGTGCACGTGCGCGCGCGTGCGTACGCGTTCGCGCTTGCGTGCGCGTGCGCGTGTGCGCGTTCGTCCGCGTGCGTTCGCGCGCGTGCGCGCCTGCGTGCGCGCGCAAGCTCGGGCGCGAGCGCGAGCTCGAGCCCGCCCAAGCGCGAGCCCGACCCCGACCTCGACCCCGATCGCGAGATGGAGACCGAACCCGAGACCGAGCCCCATTCTAAGCGCGCGCGTTTCTGGTATGATAACACGCGGTCAAACATTTCACCACCGATATTCACCTGATTGTAGCGGGGCCCTCTTTGGGGCTCAAGTGGCACCTTTTTTGGTGCCCCTCGTGTGCTTTGAGGCCATCCTGGAGGCAGTCAACCAAAAGGATGGTTCTCTGTCCCTTTGGAGCCTGAAGCGTTGCATCTTGAGACCCTCTTGATGTCCTGTGGGGCCCTCTTCGGGCCCTTCTGGGTTTTCTCAGGGCCCTCTTGAGTCGTACCTTAGAATTTCGTGAGGCCCCCCAGACCCATCGGAAGTATAAAAGGCAAGAAGGCAAAAGTCATTCAGACATTGCAGGCTAGGCTGTGCTTTGGCCCCCTCAGGGGGCATCCTGGGTAGTGTGGGCTTTTGGAGCTATGCTGGAATCCATGCGGGCAACCTCGCACTATCTTGGAAGCAATCCAGGGGTTCTCTAGTCAATTCTGGAGCCATCTGGGGCTACCTCTGACGCTCGAACCCCTCGCGTCCCCCCCTCCACACACCAAGGGGATGAGAAAGACAAACGAAGGGGAGGATGGTTACCTTTGGTGGATCTCATGCTCTGCTCCACTTACGCCTGGAGGGCGCGTCGGGGTTGTCAATGACTCTGTGAGATCTGCTCTTGTCCAGTGAAGCGGCGGCAAGACCCATTTGAGCGTGAAGCAGCCGATCTGCTGGCTTGAGCTCATTTTTCATGTGTGGAGTCTGCACACGGAGATTTTATTGTATCTCTTGACCTTGACAGGCAACTCCTCGAGCTCGACGACATACCGGCGGTGGACATGCCTCCCAGTTTTTCAGACGTTCCATTGTATTGAATTTTGCACGTGTTTTCGATTGGCGGCCTCTGCAAGTCTTCCAGGCTCCTTTGCCTCTCAGCCGTTGGGCATTTCTCCTGCCACCGCGCGGAGTGTCGCTTCTTGGGCGTGTGCATATGTTCCATCAATTCGCACCCTTGGGCATTCGGGGGTGGGCGTGCCTCAGTACTTGTGCCGCCCACCCCAGGGTGCAAAGAGGACGGGCCGCTGCAACCCGCAGCGGCCAGGCCTGTGGCAGCCGTGCCAAATTTTTTCCGCTGTGCGCAGCAAGTCGCTGGGCGCGTGGAGGGCTGCAGGCCTCACTCGGGCGCCATAAGAGCCCCCCTGCAGGGCCCGCCCCCGCAGCCGGAGAGGCGACAGGCCGCCGCCAGTCCCCTCGGGGTGCTGGGCCGGCGCCGGTGGCACCCGCCTGCTGCCCTGCTGGGTCGCCAGACAGCGCGCGCCAGCTTCGAGGATCGGGGTCTGTCAGTATCGTTGAACCGATCGCCATCCCCATCCCCATCCCCTTCGAGACCCCCACCGAATCCCCACCCCAGTTGGGGAGACACCCCTCGAATCCGGAAGGGAACGACCGATATCCCCATCTAGGGGGGTAAATCGGCCAGTGGGGCCCGGGCCACGCCGCTGCGGGATGGGGGTCGGTTAAACGATGCTCAGTCTGAGAAGCCTGGGTCCCGGGCCGAGAATCGAGGGCGCCGGCTTCGAGGGCCGAGGCTTGGAGGCCCGAGGCCCGAGGAAGCCCTGGGTCGAGCACTTGGAGCCGCCCGCAGGCCCCGGGGTCGCCAGCTCCCGCACCTGCGACGTCGTGATTGTTTCTCGATGCCCGGCCGTTTGTGCTTCCGGCCTCGGTGTGCGGAGGCCCGTGTCGGGATCGAAAGCAGGGCCCTGGAGACCAGGACTTGCAAACCGGGCCTTGCAAGATCCAGCGGGAGGTAGCAAAGAGTGGAGAGTGGTTCGACCCACGGCTGCACCTTTCTCGGGGCGCGCCAACGTCCTGGCCTATCAAAGTTCCCGTTCACTGGGCCCTGATGGAAGAGGATCCAGGCTGACAGCTTGTATTGGGGAAGAGATCGAGAGCTCCAGGGGCACCAGTTGTTCGAACGTCGCAAGGTCGGAGGTCTGGGACAGAGCGTTTGCGGGCACGGATGGACGCTGTTCGAGAATCTTGCCCAGACAGTGTCCAGGACGGGTTCGGCGCTTAAGTTTGAGCTGCGTTGGGCAGAACAGATGGCATGTGAGCAGTTGCGAATGAGAGTGGGGGGCTGGGTTCGGGGTGGGTCGCGGAGTGGGTCGCTGGGGGGTGGCGGGTGGGTCGCGGGATCGGTCGCGGGATGGGTCGCGGGTGGGTCGCGGGATGGGTCGCGGGTGGGTCGCGGGGTGGGTCGCGGGTGGGTCGCGGGTGGGTCGCGGGGTGGGTCGCGGGTGGGTCGCGGCGCGGGTCGCGGGTGGGTGGGCGGCTGGGTGGATCGTGGTTGAATCGCGGGGCGGGTCGCGGGTTGGGGCACGGGGTGGGTCGCGGGAGGGACGTGGGGTGGGTCGTTAGGTTGGTTGCGGGGGGGTCGCGGGGTGGGGCGCGGGTGGGTCGCGGGGGGGTCGCGGGCGAGGACGACAACAACAACAACAATAACCAGTTTACCCTCATGCGCGATGTTTCCACACGAAGTATGCGACCATCATGATAACCATACCCATCATGAGGGACTCTTGTTCTATAGCGAGGTCCGTTATTCCCATGTCCAGATATCCCGCCCAATGAGGTCTTGCAAACACCTCTTCCGAGGAATTTCAACATATCTCACCTCGAAAGCGCATGCCCGCGCCTTGCTGCGCCGATGCGAGACCGCCAGTGGAGCCCCAGCCAAGGGTACAGCACAAGTAAGTATCGAGCGACAGGATTGCCTTGGTGGGGATGGGGGCTGTCGGCGGCGAGGCAAGGACCTGGCCCTGAATAGAAACGGAGGAAGTCCCGAGAAGGGCCGCTTTTGTTGCTGGGAGCGGCGCCAGTGCTGAAGATAGTAGGGCGCTAGTCCAGCGTAAAACAATGAAGTCTCGAGCGGGAACGCTGGTTTTGTTGGGACGGCGGTTGTCGGCGGCGAGGAGGGACACCGCCTTGAGTAAGAAGGGAGGAGGTCTCGAGCGGGAGCCGTGGTTTTGTCTGGACGGGGGCTGTCGGCGGCGAGGAACAGCACCGTCCTGCGGAAAAAGGGGGGAAACCTCGAGAGGGAGCGTTGTTTTTGTTGGGAGCGGCTCCAATTCAAAAGAGAGTAGGGCGCCAGTCCAGCGTAAAACGGAAGGAAGTCTTTGGCGGGAGCGCTGGTTTTGTCGGGGCGGCGGTTTTCGGCGGCCAGGAGGAGCACCACCTTGAGCCAAAAGGGAAGAAGTCTCGAGCGGGAGCGTTGTTGTTGCTGGGGGCGGCGCCGATGAGAGAAACAATAGCGCGACGGTCCAAAGTAAAACGGGAGGAAGTTTCGAGCGGAAGCGCTGGTTTTGTTGGGACGGCTGCTTTCAGCGGCGAGCAGGAGCACCAGCTTTGAGCAAAAAGGGAGGAGGTCTCGAGTGGGAGCCCTGGTTTTGTCGGAACGGGGGCTGTCGGCGGCGAGGAGCAGCACCGTCCTGAGGAAAAAGGGGGGAGGCCTCGAGAGGCAGCGTTGTTCTTGTTGGGAGCGGCGCCAATTCAAAAGAGAGTAGGGCGCCAGTCCAGCGTAAAACGGGGGGAAGTCTTTGGCGGGAGCGCTGGTTTTGTCGGGGCGGCGGCTTTCGGCGGCCAGGAGGAGCACCACCTTGAGTAACACAGGAAGAAGTCTCGAGCGGGAGCGCTGTTGTTGCTGGGGGCGGCGCCGATGAGAGAAAGAGTAGCGCGCCAGTCCAAGCAAGGTAATGCGGGAGGAAAGCGGTATCGTTGGTTTTGTTGGGACGGCTGCTTTCAGCGGCGAGCAGGAACACCAGCCCTGAGTAAAACAAAAAAACAAAAAATCTCGAGCGGGAGCGTTGTTGTTGTCGGCGGGCTGGCTTTAGCGCCCTCCAAAACCGCACGAGCGCGGGCCTCATTTTCAATGACAATGTAGCCGGCGCCGTGGCGAGACCGCCAGGGCGTATGGGGGGTCCAGCAATAATTGTTTAGTACTTGACATTCAATAACAACAATAAGTTTGAGATTATTCGTTCCTATCTGCTCGCTTGCCATTCAATACGTGTATCCCAATCCCTCGGTACCCGCCCTCTTCGTCTTCGATCGTACCCCCTTGGGGGCATATCTTTCGCATCTGCCGCGCGCATGTAGTGCAGCCCCTAGAACGGGGGAGGAGAGGACGGCAGGAAGGGGGAGGGAGAAGGATGGAACATGACAGAAATGAGCAGAAGGGAGGCCAGGAGCAGAAAACACGTGGCAGAACCAGACGGGCAGATTGGGCGGGCGACCTTAGCGGGCGCGCCTGGAAGGCGGGCCCCGGGCCGCCAGGTCGAGCAAGCGGGTTGTTGAAGCGTGAGTCTGCATGAGTCGCGAGGAAGTCATAGAGCCAAGGCGCGATTGCCAAGTCAATTGTGAGAAAAGCAAACGCGAGAGCGTGATCCACGAGTGTCGAGGGCTTGGCGTCTGCATACATCGCGAGGAAGTAGCGCGCGAGAGCGCGAATCTTGGATACAATGTGAGGAGGTCCCGCGAGAGAGCGCGATGTTGGAATACCTTGTGAGGAAGTCTGAGGCGGGAGCCGTTGTCGTTGCTGTAGTTCGGGGCCCAATATCGCAGTTTGGGTGCGAGCCCGGCGGGGGGCGCTTTGATGAAACGCAGAATGAATGGTCACCAGAGGGGATGATCAACATTTCGCATGCTTTAGACGTGATAACCAACAACAACAATCATTCTAATATTGTTCGCTCCTACTTGTCCGTGTGTCATTCAAAACGAGTTCCCCACACCCTCGATGCCCGCTTTTATTGTCTTAGATCACACCCCGTTGGGGGGATTATTTCTCTTTGCGGGGCGCGGCGGGCTTAGGCAGGCGGGCAAACCTGAACGGGCGGACAATCCTTCGTGGGCGTACATGTGCCCGCCATTGGTACTGGTGTGGGCCCTGCAAAAAGAGGAGGGGGAGAAAGAGGGATAGTGGGAGGAAGGGAGGGGGAGAGAAAAAGGAAGAAGGAAAACGCCAGGAGAGAAGGAGCGAAGAGGGGGGCGGTTGATTAGAGGCAGAGAGAGAGAGAGAGAGAGATAGAGAGAGAGAGAAAGAAATCTAGAGAGAGAGACACAAAAAGAGAGAAAGAAAACTATAAAGAAAAAGAGAGATAAGAGAGGTAGAAAGAGAGAGAGAGAGAGGGGGAGAGAGAGAGAGAGAGAAACAACAACAGAGGGAGCGAGGAGGCAGGAGAGGGGAGGGAGAAGGGAGGAGGGAGAGGAGGGAGAGGGAATAGGGCATAGAGGCATGAGGATGAGGGAAGGGAGGAGGGAGAGAGAAGGGAGGAGAGAAGGGAGGAGGGAGGAGGGAGAGGGAGGAGGAGCAGAAGGTAAGAGCGTGAACGTTCGAGGAAGTCCTCGGCAAAAGCGGCGTTCTTGAAGGAAGTCTCGGGCGGGAGCCCGCGATGGGCGGGCGATCCCCTTGTGGGCGGGTCGGGCGGGCGGGACATTTAAGCGGGATGCCTGAGTATGGCGACAGCGCGATTCCTAAGTGAATTGTGACAGCGTCCTTGGCGCAGCGTGTTTCCTGAGCGTTGAAAGCGCGATTTCCGAATACATTGCATGGGAGTCACAGGCGAGAGCGCAACTCCTGGAAAACATGTGAGGTGTTCTCTGGCGGGAGCGGGGGTCTTGATTAAATTGCGAGGAAGTCTTGATTCAATTGCGAGGAAGTCTCAAGCGGCTGAGTAAATTGTGAGCAAGTCTGAGACGGGAGGGGGGGGTCCTGAGCAAATTTGGAGGATTGGAGGAAGTCTCAGGCGGGAGCCGTTGTTGTTGTAATCCGGGGGGTCAGGGGCACAGTTTGAGCACCACGATTTTCCCTGCCAAAAAACCGGGTTCGAGCGCCGAGGGGCACATTTTGATTGAGAGAAAACAGCATGCACCGGTGAGTCGGAATCAACAATAATTATTCTTCAGGAGTGAAAGTTCAACAACAACAACAACAACAACAACAATCATTTTACCCGAACGCGTGGTGTTCTCCCCAGTGCCAGGGTTTTCATACGACACCAGGCAATACCCCCACTTCGTGGGGGGGCATTACAAGCTCTACCAAATATCCAAACGACTCTTCGCGACCACCCAAACCCAGCTTCCCGCCCTATGACGTTGGGACACTTCACTTCGTGGCGTGCGGACGACCGTGGCTACTACACTGGCGTGGGGTACACACCCACAGAACTTGGTCACTTATTCGGGGCGCGCATGTGCCCAGCATGGTGCAATTGTGCCATACAATACATAATACAGAGAGACGAATGTGTCCCGCATGGTATTATTTGACAGGGATGATGGCCCTGGCAGGTGCGCAACCGTTGTCGCAGAAGTTCGAAAAAGTTGCTCGCAAAAGCCCGTTTGACAGAAATGTTTAAAAAGTGTTGGGTTTCCTACGAATCCGCAAGAGCGCGCGGGATGAGATTTTGACATTTTTTTTGTTGAAAAACCATTGGTTTTTTGATGTTTTTATGTTAAAATCGCTCCGAACACTAAGCTTTTGGAAGGATTTCGTCTTGCGCGCGCGAATGTCCACTTTACCTTATTTTTTGCAAGGGATTCTTGAAATTTGATTATATTAGAACAAGAAATGTCATTTTATAGTGTTTTTTGCAAGGGAAAGCGGGGGGGAACAAAACAACCGGATCTTGATCACATCGAATTACCTGAGGCTTCCTCACGAAAATGATGAAAATGTAGCTGCGGCCTTTTACCTGAGGCTTCCTCACGAAAATGATGAAAATGTAGCTGCGGCCTAGGCGCGGCGGGGGGGGCGTGCACCAGGGGGCCCAACAATAATTATTCTTTAGAATTAATAATGTTCAACAACAACAACAACAACAGTAGCAACAGCACAAGCAACAGCAACAACAACATCAACAACAACAACAACAACACTTGTTAAATGTTGTTCGCTCTCATCCGATCGCGTAACAAGCCCTCGGCACCCGCCCTATTCGTCTTTGATCGTGCACCCTTGGGGGTCAATCCTCCTTACCTGCCACACGTATGCTGCGTAGCTACTAAAGAGGAGAAGGGAGGACGGATGGAAGGAAGGAGCAAGGGGGGTGGAAAAGGACGGAGCATTCTAGTGTCGACCATGCGGGTTGTTGAAGCGTGAGTCTCGCCTGAATCGCGAGGAAGTGATGCTTGTTTTCCTGAGGCCAATCGCAGAGAAACAACCAGTGCAGACAACAAATAATCAATTGAGGAACAGCTGTGCTCTCGCAGGGAGGGGAGATGTCGACCATCGTCGCAAAACCGCCGACGCCCGACGCTCAAAGCGCGGATGCTGAGTGGCAATCCCACCCCATGCCAGTTGGAGTCGGGAGCTCCTTCTCGCCGCCAGAAAACAACATCCCTTCCCCAGACCCTCTCGCGTACGCGACGGGAGGTTTTCCACTATTTTCGGCCTCCGGGGGCCCTTACCGGGCCTCGGGACCGTCAAACAACTACCCAGCATGAAAACCCGGTCCGGGGAAAGGGTCCAGACCTTTGGGGGCCGAGGTCGGGAAAAAATCACGACGGGTGTCTGGGTCTCCAGCTGGTGAAGGGACAGCTGGATCGCGGACGACAGGAGCAATGCACACCGGCACCGACACCGGTCCTGGCCAGGCCGCTGTTTGGTCCCAAGATCGGCGCACATGCGCCGTCCTGGCTTTGCTGCAGGAAGACGTCTACTCTGGCCCTGAGCCCGGGATGTGCGTGGACAAGTTCGGTGCCAGTGTATTTCCAGTCGGCCACGCGCAGAGGGGGGCAGGGGAAGGAGGAAAGGGTTCTTCTTAGAAGGAGGCTGATTCTTAGAAGGCGCTGGCCTTGCATCGATATATATATATATATAGATATGCATCGAAATGCAACGTTGTGTATATATGTATGTATAAGAGGCCGGCACCTTCTAACAAGCAGTCTCTTTCAATTTCTACGACAGGTAGAGGTTGCAGGCGCGAACGTGTCGTTGCACACAGTGACACAGCGCAGTGCGTCGATTGGCTGCCGCACCTTGCCCAGACCCCCGACGTTATGATTTTTTCATAACGTCGACCCTCAGAGGTCTCGACCCATTCCCCTGGACCGGTTTTTCATTCTGAGTCGTTTTTTGACGCTCCCGAGGCCCCCGGGGGCCGAAAATAGCGAAAAACCTCCCATCATATTTGTTTCATTGCCCGAGGGGGTCTGGGGACCGCGCTGGCGCCGTGAGTGGCGAATAGAATGAAGCTGGTGCTGTAGGGCCAACCGGGTCCAGCTGCGACGTGGCGCCGACGCCTCGAAGAAGCGCGCTCTGAGATGTGCGTCTCGAGCCTCTTGTGGCGCCCGGTTAGTCTGACCACAGTCACCACGAAGGCGGCAGAGAGAGGGAGATAGAGAGAGAGAGAGAGGAAGAAGGAGAGGGAGAGGTGCAGTCAACCCGCATAGTAAGAATGGGCAAACTTCCCAAGAGTACCCTTGTATCCTTGCCTCCTCGGTCCATCCCGGGCCACTTTGGTTGGCAGCGCCCCGCTCGAAAAGCTTCGAGATGGCCTTCCAAGGCCCTTGCATCCTTATCGTGTGTCCTTCTGTGCAGTCGAGGCGCTGAGATGAGGACCACTTTGGGCTCAGGAGGGGTTTCTAGTTCTTGGGCAGCCGGGCTGGACCCAAACGCTGTTTTGCTGGACCTCGGCTGTGTTTTGTTTTTTGTTTTGGCAGGGAGGTGCAGGAAAAAAGGTCGAGCAAAGTGATATTTTTTTTAGTCAGTGTTTTGCCGATCCTCGCGGGCCCTCGCACCCCCCCCTTCCCCACCACAAGGAGTAGATCTTGGCTGTTTGGGGCGCCTGTTTCGAGCAGGTGGATTCTCCCCGATAGGACGCACTGTTGCAAACAGTCGTATTAAGCAGAGGTCCAGAGCCAGACCCCTCCCTCTCCCTTTCCGCCCAATGTCGAAACGCCGAACCCAGAGAGGTCCGACATTGCAAAACAAGTGCAACATCGCACGCGACTGGAGCCCCGAACCCCATCGTTCTGCGGCCTCATTCTCCGAGCCGGATCGATCTGGGAGGGTCCCGGGGCCCGAAATGGAGCGACAGCGCCCGTAGCAAAAGAATCGCAGCGCCAGGATCTCAGGGAGTGAGGAAGCGCTCGCAGAGCGCAGCGCAGAGCGAAAGCGAGACGAGGCACGGCGTTGAGGTCCAGCCCCGTCGGGCGGCGCCTTCAAGACTTCGGTCGGGGGGGGGGGCGCCTGCTCGTGGCCGGGGCTCGCCGAGGCCGGGAAGGCCCCAGTTCTTTCGCTCGTGCGTTCGGCACTCCTCGTGGTCTTGTTTTTTGTTCCTTGTTTTGCCGATCGGCGCGGGCCTGGCTTTTTATTCATTGTTTTTGTGCATTGCTTTTGGTACTCATTGATTTGTTATACATTGTTTCACCGATCTTTGTTTCATTCGTTTTTTTTTTTGTTCCTTGTTGCACCCCCCCTCTCCCCCACCACATGGAGCAGGACTTGGCTGTTTGGGGCTCTTGTTTCGAGCAGGTGGGGTCTGCCCCATAACGGACGCACTGTTGCAAACAGCCGCACTGAGCAGAGGTCTGTAGCCAGACCCCCCCCCTCCCCCCCCTTCCGCCCAATGTCGAAACGCAGAAACAAAAACGTTGCCCTTGTGGCAGCACGATGGCTCTTGGGGAGAAGGGGAGAGACAGAGAGGGAGAGAGGGAGAGACCCAGACATGCTCGCGTCGTAAAAAGAATCAGGACGGGAGGTTTTTGGCCGTTTTCGACCTCGGGGGGCCCTCTCCAGGGGGGCCGTCAAAAAACGACTCAGGACGAACAGCCGGCCCCGGGGAAGGGTCGATCGGGAATTCCAGGGGCCCCGCATTGATGGGGGGGGGGAAAGAGGGGGGTGATGACTAGGGGGGGGTAGATATCATGGCGTGGGCCATGATATTTCCCCAGATTTCATGGCGCCTCTTCTTATGTCATTGCGTCCCTGGCCCCCCCGCTGGGCCGCGCACATGCCGCCGGTCATGATTTGCACCCCCCCCTCTTGGCCGCTCCCGGATTGAAAAAATCAGGACGTCGCATGTCTAGGGAGAGAGACCCAGCGCAGAGGTCTCGGCCAGCTTCCCCAGGGGTAGCCTGCCGCCCCGCACCCACCTTGACGACCCCCTGCGGGGCAGAGATCGCAGAAGCACGCCGGGAGCGACCGAAGCAGGTCGTCTGAGACCTGGGCCTGTCCCTGGTAATCACCGCCCAACAAACCACCCCAACCCAACCCGAAGGCCCCGATTTGCCCTCCATTTCCAGTTGGGGGGGGGTCGGGGAACATATGAGAAAACACACATATACGAAGCCCGTACCCCCCCCCAACCCGAAATTCGGGTCTTCGGGTTGGGTTGCGGTGGTGTGGTAGGTCGTCAGGTAAGGCCTCGGGCTGGGCACAGACGCCCCCGCAGGCCGTCCGGGCCACCTTCCGTGGCCCCGGCTGGCCTCCGCGGGCCGCCCGAGTGGTCCACGGGCGGTCTCGACGCCTCCGCCGCCCAATGTCGAAACGCCAAATTTACAAACGTTCATTAATCGGGCATGTTCATCGATCCAGAGGAGGAACAATTTAAAATAGTCAAAGAATAGTCCAGGCCCGATTTTCTAGTGTATTATGCTCAACCGTGTTTCAATTTTGTCTGCCAAAATCCGCCTGTAGGGGGATCTGCCCGACCTGGTCGACCCCCTCGCAAGGGTCAGGAACAACGCGTGGCGCAGGTTTTTCGTAATTTTCGGCCTCATGGGAGCCCTGACCAGCCCTCGGGGCCGTCAAATTATGACTCGGGGAGCAGAGAGCCGGTCCCTGGGAATGGGTCGAGAACTCGGGGGGTCGACGTGGTGAAAAATTGCACGACGTCGGAGGTCTGGGGGCTGCGACAACGCAGGCACCTTCGGGCTGCTCCGGGAAGCGCGTGGGCGGGTACCTCGGGGGGGCCCAGGGAGGCGCCCTGGCAGGAAGCATTCCATGGCTGTTTTTCGAACTTTCCATTTTCTTCTGAGAGCATTCCGTGGATAGGCGTGCCAGGACGGTCGGCCCCTGCTCGAGGAGCGGCCCCAGAGCGCCGACATGTCCAGGGGGCAGCGCCGGTCCCAACAGCCGCAGGCGCCGGAGGCCTGGGGCCGTCGCGGCGCGAGCCCGCCGCGGTCCCCCTGGGCGCCCGGGGGGCCCCGTGCGCCAGCGAGAGGGCTGCGGGCGCCGCCTCCGCCGCGCCAAAGGATCTACACAGACACCCGCCAATGGATTGTCACGATCCGTGTTTGCCCACCCCTGAGATCCTGGCGGCTCAATTGTTTTCGGGCCGGGCGTTTTCGCCGGGCCCCGGGGCCCTCACAGGTCGATCCGGTGCGAAAGATGACGCAGGACGATGGGGTCCGGGGCTCGGGTCGTGATGATTGCGATGTTGCATGTCTTGCAGCGTCGGATCTCAGGGATTGCAGGTCGGCGTGTGTGGCGTTCTGGGCTTGCTCGGCGGCTGTCTTACTTGCGCTGTGCTCACTGCCGAGGCTGGTGGATCGGTGCCGACAGCTGACCTGCATTGCCGTCGGTCTGGGATCACCATCGTGGGGGGGGGTAAACAGCAAAAAGCACCTTGCGCACCTTCCGCGCGGAAGGTGCCGCCGCTGCGGCCTCGGCGGTGGCCGCCGCTGCGGCCGCGGCGGCGGCCGCGGCAGCGCGGCAGCTGCCGCGCGGAAGGTGCGGAAGGTGCAGGTCGAGGGAATGGGTCCAGACCTTCGCCGTCGTCCTCACGGGAGAAATCACGACGTCGGGAGGCTCTCCAGGTTTGTGCGCGGCCTCGCCGGCGGCGGCGCGCCGCCGCCAGGCCCTGGGCCCTATAGGGCCTCAAGGGGGGGGGGGGGCGGCGGTGTACAAATCACCACCGCGAGGGCCAGCGATTTTCTGCACCGCCACCCTCCCTGAGGGTACATCCGAAGTTCGTCGGGGGGCGTCAATTAGAGGAAAAAGAACTATGCACATGCACCGATTCTGGCCAGGCCCATCCTGAGCCCAGGATCGGTGCATACGCCCTCCTACCTTGGCCAGGAAGGCATATGCACCGATCCTGGGTCAAGGATGGGCCTTGCCAGGATCGGTGCATGTGCATATTTCTCTTCGCCCGATCAATGTATCTGGATGATTCGTGGCGTAGCGCCCGCCAGGCCAAGATAGCAGCCTTCCCGACCCTGCGGCTGTACAAGCGCGACGGCTCCTTCGAGGCCTGCCGGGGTGCCTGCGCGCGCGGCGGCCGAGGGCGCGAGCGGGCCCTTGCGAGCGCGCCGCGCGCAGCCGCCGCCGCCGCCCGCGGTCAGGAGAAGGAATGTTTGTTGTTGTCTTGGTCCCGTGATCGATACGAGACGGCCCAGACCTCCGACGACCGACGACCTGACGCTTTCCAGTCCGGGGGCGCTTCTGTTTTCTCGGCCTCGGCCCCCGCGGGCCCCGTCAGCGGGCCCCGTGAGCATCAAAGTCTGGTAAGACAAGTTGCACTGAACAAACAACACGCACGACATCGACAGAGTCACGGGGAGTGGACGTCCGAGCGAGGGCGAGCTGCAGCGGAGCAAGCGGCCATGATGATGATGATAATGATGATGATGATGATGATGATGATGATGATGATGATGATGATGATGATGATGATGATGATGATGATGATGATGATGGTGTTGGTGATGATGATGATGATGATGATGATGATGATGATGATGATGATGATGATGATGATGATGATGATGTGATGCTGATGCTGCTGATGATGATGATGATGATGATGATGATGATGATGATGATGATGATGATGATGATGATGATGATTGATGATGATGATGATGATGATGATGATGATGATGATGATGATGATGATGATGATGATGATGATGATGATGATGATGATGATGATGATGATGAGACGGGCGAGCCTGCGGGGCGCCCCGCGCGGCGGCGGCCAGGAACGGGCGGGCGTCAACGGTGAGGAGGAGGAGGAGGAGGAGGAGGAGGAGAGGAGGAGAGGACGAGAAGGAGAGGGAGAGGAGGAGGAGGAGGAGAGCAGCGGAGGAGAGGAGAGGAGGAGACGAGGAGGAGGAGGAGAGGAGGAGGAGGAGAGGAGGAGGAGGAGGAGAGGACGAGGGAAACGAGGAGGGGGGAGGAGGAGGGAGAGGAGAGGAAACGAGGAGGAGAGGAGGAGGAGGAGAAACGAGAGGAGGAGGAGGAGGAGAGGAGGAGGAGGAAACGAGGAGGAGGAGGAGGAGGAAACGAGGAGGAGAAGGAGGAGGAGGAGGAGGAGGAGGAGGAGGATCTGCAGGACTGCCACCGCACAACCTGTAGGCACCAGGGCCGCCAGGCACGCCGGAGATCTCCCGGGACGCACCCCGCGCCA